AGGGATGGTCACGCCGCAATCCCTTCTCCTCCATTATCCTCTCGGGATCTTGGGCACGCACGCACACACGCCCAGCGTGAGTTTTAAGCCACCGGGTCCGGGACACGAACCGCGGTCGACTACGTGGGAGTTTAGCGACACAGCCATTACGATAACTGCTGGTCCCGCAACTTGCTTTCTCATTTTGCCTCTCTCTGTTAAGTACACATGCCCTACAGAAAATTTGAAAATAATAATAATAATAATTAATGAAATTAAATAATTCTTTTGTTTATTTATTTAGGTTTTTTTTTGAGAGAGAGAGGTTTTTGCTATAGGGTGTGTGCACTCGCCAGAAAGACAGAGAGAGACAGAAAGCGAGAAATCTCCCTCCAGGGGGGATGGCCATGCCACAATCCCTTCTCCTCCATTCTCCTCTCAGGATCTTAGGCACTCACACACATGTGCCCGGTGTGAGTTTAAGCCACCAGGTCTGGGACTCAAACCACAGTTAACTACATGGGAGTCCAGCAACATAGCTATTACGCTAACTACTGGTCCCAATAATTCTTTTTCTTCTAATTTAGAATATTGTATTATATAGCAACCCCAAACATTAGAAACAAATTAACTTAATAAAATAGTTTAACTTATTTGACAGGAATATAAGCATTTCTTTTTTTAATTTTTTTTTTTTGGAGAGGTTTTTGTTATAGGGCGCATGCGCTCGCCAGACAGACAGACAGAGACAGAAAGCGAGAAATCACCCCCCAGTGGGGATGGTCACGCCGCAATCCCTTCTCCTCCATTCTCCTCTCAGGATCTTAGGCACTCACACACATGTGCCCGGGGTGAGTTTAAGCCACCAGGTCTGGGACTCAAACCACAGTTAACTACATGGGAGTCCAGCGACATAGCCATTACGCTAACTGCTGGTCCTGGGCATATAAGAATTTCAATAGCGTGACGTAATCCAATGGTGTGGGGCATAATGTAGACAGGAGTGGATCTGACGTTACGCAGACACTTGCTAAATAAAAACTCCCCGCAGGACAACTAGAGACAAACGCAAAGTCAGTGCAGAGTAGCTCCGTGCAACCTTTCGAAATCAAGAGTCTAAACACGATACAGTTTTCATGTAGGCACCAAGTTATTCTAAAAATGTTTTACGATGGGACCAGCAGTTGGTGTAATGGCTATGTCGCTGGACTCCCATGTAGTTGGCTGCAATTCGAGTCCCAGACCTGGTGGCTTAAACTCATGCCGGGCGCGTGTGCGTGTGTACCCAAGATCCTGAGCAGAGAATGGAGAAGAAGGGATTGCAGCGTGGCCATCCCCCCCTGGGGGGTGATTTCTCGCTTTCTGTCTCTCTGTCCCTGTCTTTCTGGGGAGCGCACGCGCCTTATAGTAAAAACCTCTCCAAAAAAATGACTTATGTTAGTTATTTTGAAATTTTTTTTCATCAGATACATTACTCATATCAACGATACATGTGATTTGCCAGGGAAAAAAAAAAAAAGAAAGAAACCAAAATACCGTTTCAGATCCGCTACACTTAAATAAATCACTCTCATTATAAGGGCTGTCAGCATAGTCTTTGCAACTAGCCCAAAGCGTATATTTAAGAAGCTTTTATAAATTGTTTGTGCTGCTCATATGTTTAATTCTTAGGCCGAACTGTTTTCTGCTGAAGACAGCATTGTGCTTTACGGCAGCATGGAGACCTCAAAATAATCACCATAAAGCTTCCAAGACTTACGGGAGAATCAGCGAGGGTGGCCCACAGACACAAGATGAGATCCGCGATGTCGGAGTTATAAATGTTTAGAGCGGCCCAGACTAGAAGACAAGCCCAACCCACCATTAGAAGGAAATACCAGACGGTCCACGATGTGTCCTTAAAGATCTTTCTCAACCCTCAGTTTGAATTGTGAGGACTGACCCTCAGTTCAGTCCAGCAGAAACTGACTGTGCAATTTTCCGTCGTATTATTGTGCAGACTCTGCACATTCTAGAAGGTTCCTTTAGTGCTACACTGTGGTACTTTTTGTCCCAGCAATTTGAGGATGTGCAAATTCCACAAAGCCGTCAATAAACACAGGCCACGCTCCTTCCTCATCATAATTAGACATGTCATCAGCAGTCCCTGTACTGAAGTCTAAAAGAAGACTCCAAGTGTCTTTCAGGATCGATCATCTATGATGTTCCAACAAAATTTATTCTGTAAGTCTAAGAATTTAAATCTTCCATTAACCACCAAGTTCTAGTAAGCAATGGCCATTTCTAGACCTAATCCTTTTTGTCTGGATTCTTTGCAAAATTAAAAGTAAACTGGTAAAAATCTTAA